ATGAAGAGTTTACACTGTATATAAACCGTAGGACAATTACCCCGCGAATTAGCAGTCATCATCATCATCGTAAGGTCGTCAGCCCTATAAGACTGGTTGAACACGCACCTCCACTCTTTCCTATCCTGAGCATTTCACATTTCCCTAAAACTACATCCTTAACTATTTGCGAACAGTAATCTAATCTAGGTCTACCTCTACCCCTCCTAACTCCTGTTTCTGCCACCAATATGTCTCTGACTAGACCTTTATGCGAATTAGCGGTGTAAGTAAAAATTACCCGCGACTCGGGAACATCGTCAGCAATTAACCAGTGGCATATTGAGCCCAGCTAGGAATTTCCTAACAGATGTTACAATTTTTGAGTGGTAACTTCAAATGAAGGGTTTCGGGTTTCTCGGATCGAGCCTAATTTTTGGCGTTCACGGGTAACTATCCGATATTTGCCTACTAATTTTGCCAAGCGAACTTCAAAATGGTAAACAAATCAGCGATCCTAAAGTAAGAAATGCCTTGTGAGTTTTTCATGACAATCGTGAGGCAAAACTAACACAAAAGGGGACAAGTCCACTATCTGCCTTATGTAGACAAATATTAAATATCTATACTATAGGAACTCTTCTTAGTCGAACTTGTGGTTATCTGGTAACGGATCATATTTAAAAATTATCAGCTGGTAATAATCCGCTGTACCTTACATTGAACTGAAAATAAACTAACCCAAAACAAAAAATCTCCAGTCTGCATAAGTGTATGTCCTATTATTCAAAGCCATAGACTACATCTTTCTTGATATATGCACGTATTATTTTTTAAACGAAAAACTAGGGGCGGCATGTATGCTACTTGTTAAATCAGAGCAAACGCTATTTTGACACGCACCCCTAACTCCCAATCTTCACGAAAACTCGAACATTTAACATCTCAAACTGATTCCGAATAGTAATCTGATTTATATCTCCCTCTGCTCCCCTTCATATTTCATTCCGCTTCAACAATGTTTCCAAGAAGCCCTTCATAACTAAGAAGGTGTTTTTCTATCGTGTCTCTCTTTTATCCTTTTCTTCATTAACTTCCACAGCGTCTTTATCCAATATCTTCTCATTTCTGACCTTTTCTATCCACGGTGATAATTTCTATCTACAATAACTGTCCTGTCCGAAATTTTACGTGTTAGAAAATAATTAACTGAATGCTAAGCCTTTAAGTTTTAAGAATATTCAGTAACTTTATTGTGTAATTAGGCCTAACGGTTGGTAGATAACTAAGTCGATAAAACATATCGGTTCTTAAACTTTTTCGATATTTTCACATTAACAACGAACCCGTAATTAGTACGATATTTCAACACTAAAACGAAAAAGAACTCGAACAATAATACTTTCGACTAAACAATCTGAAAGCGAAAGTTAATTAAAAGAAGGGCCCCCATTCGGACCTCTCGAGATCATTACAGCTACAAGCGTCAATTAAACTACAACAAAGTGCAGCTTTTGTAAGCTGATTAAGACTAATTTATGTGCTTTAAATTGTATTGTATTTTCTGTTATTATTAACACACGGACAACTGGATCATTTTTGACGAAATCTGGACCAACACTATGCCAAAATAATTTTGAGTCAATTATGTTAGTCGGATGGGTAATTTTTTAAAATGTGAGTAACACATAGGAAACATCGAAACAATATTATGGAGTAAAATCAAACGTATGCATTGTAATTATTTTTGATTTAATTCAATAAATTGTTTCTCAAAAATTGTGCTTTTGAATGTGCAGCACCTCTAACTCATCACGTTCATGCAGATTTTGGATTTTAACGGAAATATTTAATTTAATCTCGGTAAAGGTCTAGACCTCTAGACGATGGCCCCGAAGGGGGTGGGGGGAGATCGAAAGGGGAACTCTCCCCTACCACTGTCCCATAAAAAATTCGTGGCGGTCTCACCCCCATAAAAAGTTATGGGGATTCAAAGTTAATAAACATGCCAAAAATACATAGAAATATTGAGAAAGTTATATAAAAATTATTTAAATATCTTTATNTTGTTCAAGTGACCACCCTTTTTCGATCCCCCACCTCCACTCGCTTGAAAATAATTGTTTTATTGAATTTTATTTGAATTATAGTGTATGAAAATTGTCAAAATAATCAACTTTTAACCCTCATAACTTTTTATGGGGGTGAGACCGCCACGAGTTTTTTATGGTAGAGTGGTGGGGGAGACCTCCTCATTCGATCCCACCCACCCAACATCTAGCCCTTTACCTTAATCTCATAGGAGAAAATATAATTAATCTTCTAGATACAAAAAAGTGTCTTCTAACCAGCAAAAATTCGAGTTAAAGAAAATTTCAACTTCAAATGTCAAACTTTTTAATTTTTGTTTAGAAGATATCGGTTCTACGTACGTACCTATATTAAACTGGATGGATATCCATAAGTACTTCGTTCGTGCTGTCTTTTCCTACCATAATCTTATGATCCTAATACATTATCGGTCCTGTTTGCTGTTTTCCATAATATAATATTGCCTGCCGCAGCGAAAATTGATGTTTAAGTTTCGACTAAAAACTCAAACTGATCGTTATCGCTGCGGGCAATTGTTCCGAAAAAAATTAATAGAATGAAATGAAGAGACAATTTATTATGTAAAAGCCGTACTCGAATCTCTAGTTTGAGAAGTTAAAATAATAAATACAACTTATGAAACAAAACCAAAAGGTTTTTTGTTTTTCAGATTTGAATGTAAAATTGGTTAATAATTAACTAGAATTAGACCTTTACTTCCCTTAGAATTGTTAGGTATAAATTGCACATAGGTATATTTTAAATTTTACTAATTCAATGTACTCTTGACAATAAGACCGTATTGATAGAAGTGATACTGTAGAAGCAACAAATCAGTTTCTTTTTCCGTTGTTTTATTTTTATTAAACATGTAGATACCACTATTATTGTCAGCACAAAGATCAACCGGAGTACTAATATTGATATGCAGCAATACAATCGTTGTAGCTGGAAGGTTTTCCACTTTTCCATGACTACCTGGCAGCCATTCGCGTATGAAGCGCACGGAATATTCTATGTAATATTTGCCATTTGTCGTATGAGTTCGGCGTTAGTTTTCGTTATCAGACCGAATGTGTAAATTAGCCGAACATAATAACAATGTTAATATAACGAGCCTACAGATGAAGTTTTCTTCTTGGAAGTTTGGTTAGAAAACAAGATAACGTATTTATGTTGGACCGCTAGTTTTCTGAGAAACAGAACCAGAGGACAGACTTTTTAACTGTATGTAGAAGAATTCGCGTGTATTAGAGATGTGCCGGGTACTCGATTTGTTGATGTTCTAGTTTAGGATAGGAAGGATTCGAGGTGCGTGTCCAACCAACCTTAGGACTTATGATGATTATTAAAAATAGGGCAATGTGAAATTAAAATGTGTTCCCTACATAAGTAGGTATGTCCTGAAAAAATAATCAAAACTATTCATATTTTACTCTTAATTTCAATTTTTAAGCAATGTATTGTTAAGTAATTTGGAATAGACTGTATTCCAGACTGACAGTGCGACATTAAAAATGTTATTAACTACGCCTTATTATTAAGAGGTATACAATTCAATTTTAAACGAAGTTGTTGCAAAAAAAATAATACAGAAGATACCGAGGGTGATTATCATATATAAAATATCACGATCAGGATCTTACCTACCACCCTTCACTTTACCTCTCTCACACTGTATTAAATAGACTGCACATTGCTAACTTTCTTATATATAATTTTGGCCACTTTCTACACCACCACTTCCCAAAACTTCCCTAGTTTTTTTTCTTTGTTTTAATTCCAATATTGTTTATAACAATGCTTTAAAATCCACAGTTTCTTTAGCTTTGGGTTCATCCAATAAGTGACGTTTTTCGAATGGTTTTCTAAGAATTTTGGATTATTTTATTATTATTTATATTTTATAATAATTCGATATCGTTTTGCAGGCTGTTTTGTCTTAATTCATAAAATTTCGTAGTTCCTTGCTAAAGGTACAATAAGTGGTGATTTGACAGGCGCTGATATCAATTTGGAACTTCAAAATTACATGGACCATGACACGGAACCAGGACAACAATATTGATCCAATATTTTAAATGATCCATTTCCAAGGAGTTTCGAATCTTTTGGGCTCTCTTCAGTTGAATTTTTTAAGCTTCTAATACCTTCAATGGCCAANCAAGATAAAAATAGGTATTTTTATTTTGTAGTCGCATTTTAAATGTACGTATTTCAAATAAATCAAAGTACCGTCAACTATTTGGAAACAACTTTTAATTGACTAAAGAATATACCTTGATAAAACTTCATAACAAGAGGCGAAACGATGGTGTTGGTCTGTACTTAACATAAAACATTACCACCTTTACTGTATAATTTATTGTTTTAGCGCATTGTCAAGTATTTTTGATTGCCTACATGAAGCGTATTTCGATATACGTAAATCAGATTACGCAGAATATCGTGTTTTTGTATTTCAGCCAAGTGACTTCATAAAATGTGCTCGTGGAACAGGTACTCATATAGGAAAATAAATTTCAAAATATTATTCCGTTATTATATTTTTCTTTAAATACATGTATCTACGTATTCGTAGTAAAATTGCTTCGGATTGTAGCAAACAAAATTCTTAAATTCAAATCAAGCCAAAAACCCCATTATCACGGAATTGGTGCCTAATAGCAGTAATTTATTCATCAAATGTTTAATATTGACTAGATACATTTGTAACTACTACTGATTGTAAGTATAAATGTATTGTATAGTTATTATTTTTTTTTATTTTGTGTTGCCGTAAGTAATATTGAAAACCCCATTTCAAGTCATTAATAAATATTGGTACCTATCAGCATAAACCTTTGTATAATGATGCGATGCGATGCGATGGTTTCGTAAACCTTTGAAGCGTAGAGAGGAGACGAAGAAAAGTAAGAATAAAATCTTACCTGGCTTAGGTCTATTAAACGCCTTCATTGTTTTTATTCCCATCCCGAGGTAAACGCCACCCGAATCTATATACATAGGACTAGATTTTCACTAACACTTTAGAAGTCAAACAAGGGCACTGAGTACACAAATGGTTTCGATATTAACGGCACACATCTATGGAGATATTTATTATTATAATGTAAGCAATGCACAATAATTCAATTCATTGTTCACACAAAAATCGTGCGCGTTAAATCGCCGAACGCGAAAGAAGAGTTTACATTTTCGGGAAGTACCTGGAAGAAAAAACCTTTTCGGAATTCTATTTTTAAAAATTGAACAAAACCCGCGGATTATCGACCAGAATTTAGTGACTGTTTCTTAATGAAGATGTTTCGATTTTTTGCATACGCTTTCTGTCTTCAAACTGTAACCGTCATGTTTCTATTTCTGACATTCTTTAAATAGATGGGCCACGTTTAAAACTCTCTAATATTCGTACTAGTCGCAGGTCTTTCCCACTTTAATTCAATAACCGAAAATCACTGAATGCTTCGCATCTCTTTAGCACCGTCATCATCGTATCTTACTCATTTCCACAAAAAAGAAGATGTACTCGAGAGTTTTTCACAATCCTGACGTTTTGTTTTCGTTTTGGTCTTCAACAATCGTGACGATAATAATAACAATAATCGCGCACCATGGTGTACATAAATGCCACACGATGTCGGATTTCCATGGAAAAGACGCGCCTTTTGTTTGCGTAAAGAAAAAGGAACACGGGACCGAAAAGAGCGTACAGAAAACGCGATTTCTGCCGTTGCCGCTTGGCTGTCGTATACCAACGAACACAAAGAGGTTGGTTATATGTTCGAAAAGCACCTGTGCAGTTCCCGACTTGAATGGCTTGTGTTGGCTCCAAAAGCGTTCGCTTCTCCCTCCATGTGTACAAATAGTTATGAATGAATACTCTCGCCCGGGGAGCCGATGTAGTTTGTGCCAAGAGCTCAACACTGCTCGGCAACCGTGAGAATTCGGATGACCGAACACTACAACTGGCTCGAGCTTTTCGCCTACGTTGTTATGAATGTAGATCCATGAATACGTATAAGTATGTATGCGTACTGTCTTACCTTACGTCTCCTATTTCGCTCCATTTTATATTCCGCTGTTTTCTGAATGGTCTACCACTAATTAGCCATTTGTTTCAACTAACGAGCAAATTTAATGTTTGTTACGTTATCTCACTAGATCTAACTCGCTTTTTTCTATTCGTTCGTTCGAAATAAACATGAGTACCGAGATTAACAAGAAGAAGACTTTTCGGTGAAGTTCCTTTTGATTTTCGAAGAAAATTTCATAGATGTTAGATAATACGATTTTGAGATTTTACGAACTTTTAGTATGATTTCGTTTCCTGTGTTAGGTACCTTCATCCAATAGATTTCTAGTTCATTGTTTTTCTCTTTTTGTAATATTATTATAATTTTCCTTTCTTCCGTATTGATGAAGAAACTGAACCCTCATTTTAAGAATCACTTTTTATAGACTGTTTATTGACTGAGTAAGTGATTATCAATATCAATAGTTCCCATTTACTCAGATTCTTGACATTTTATGTGCAATGTTCAAATTACATGGAAATTTTACCTAATTTCTTCGACTTCAAAAGATAATTTTGAAGGAGCTGCCCTTTAGTCCAACGAATCCTTTTCCTCTTTACCAATATATACTTGGTTTTTAAAAGAATGTTAGTTAAGGGAATGAATAAAGCAATAAGATATCGTATTAATAAGTAAACGATTCTTAAATATCAGAGAACATAACATTTCATAAATTGTGCTTATATCTTTGAGAGCGCTGGGAATCTACTACTTCCTATGATGCCGCATTTATAAAAATCGACTTCCGCTCGTACAGGAAGAGAGTAGATAAGAAAACAAAGAAAAAAGTCTATTTTAAAGTAATTTTAAGATATAATAAAGAGCAGTTTATAGTGTCATGAGTTCATTTTAATCTTCATTTAACACTTGAGTGTGGTACATATCAAAAAGAAATAAAAGCTAAAACAATCGCGCAGCGTTCGCGTATACCTAAAACAACAGACTTGAATTTTATGATTGACGTTACCCTCCATTTTCATTATTAGAAGAAGTAGTTGGTTTTGAAAATGAATTGCTTCTTTTGGCAGAAGATATGGAGATGGACACATTATTACATTAAAAAACTTTAAGGAATCATAGGGATTGAAACAGTATTTCTACTTATACGCTGGTGGTTACTTCACAAGAACGATCAAAACAATGGAGAATGACTTTGCTGAACGATTTGATCAGTTAATTCATTGCAAAGAAAACATCAAAGAACTAAATTTTATTCCATTTAATATCAATGCTTCTTTATTTTTGAAATGCAATTCATCATCAAAAGGTCGTCAGTCCGAAGACTGGTTGGATACGCACCTCCACTCTTTCCTATCCTGACCTAATCTTCGCATTTCCTTAAAACCAAAACGCATTCCACATCATTAACTATTTGTGAACAGTAATCTAATCTAGGGCTACCTCTAGCCCTCTTAATTTCTGTTTCTGCCTCTAGTTGTCTCTGACTAGACCTTCATGCCTGAGGTGTCCTACTAACCAATCTCGCCTATTTCTTATTGACTTCCATAGAGTCCTCTGTTCTCCCATTCTTTTTAATACCTCTTCATTTCTAACCTTCTCTATCCACGGTATCCTCATCATTCGCCTGTTACACCACATTTTGAACGCTTCTAACCTTTTCTTTTCCGCCGCGCCCACTGTCCATATTTTACACCCGTACAGCGCCAAAGTTACACCTTTAACAACCTTTTTCGAATTTCTAAATTGAAATGCAATTACTGGATTTAAAAGACAACGATTTGAGAAGTTCCAAATTTACAAGTAGTAACTTAGAAGAGCTGGAAATGCGGAAATGTCTTTTGATATCGCGACATAAGTGGACAGGGAAAGGGATTTCCAAGTCTGAGGCACATAATTTCGATACGTGAATATCTTCCAGAAGGCTATGACCAGATAAAAAAGCTTTTGGAGTGCTGACGATGGGTCAGCATATTCGTGCGAGCAATTTTTCTCTTTTAATGTACTCAATAAAGAACAAGGTAAGAAGCCAAATAACTAATCAAAATTTATTGTGAAGTCTTAAACTAAAAACTACTAGTTATGTGCCGAACGTACCAAAACATTCTAGAGAAATACAAGGTCATCGTTCACATTGATTTTTTAATATAATTTCAATATTGTTCAACATAATACTGTATGTATATATAAACACTAATAAATAATGTCGTATTTTATTTAATTACCACTTCTTTATCCGATACAAATTTGAAATAAAATGTAAAAGCCGAATTAAATTTTGTGGCTATTTGAAATCCATGAAAGAATATTTTTATTGCGAATGGCTCTTCCAATTTAATAGCTTACCGACCCCTGACATATAACATACGCTGTATGAATTTTTTCTTCTAATGATTTGATTCAGCCATCTGAGAACCAAAAGCTCGTATAGGGAGAGAGTTACATGTGTCTCAAATTACTGGTACTAAAAAAGCTCACATTGTAGACATCTACCACCTACACATGGGTACAAAATACACCTACATTGTATGTATTACAGGTAAGGCATGCACCTAATTCCTTTAGCAAATCTAAAACTCATCTTTTACTAACAGTTCCTTACGTCCGTCGATCAGAGTGAATGAATAAGCGAATGAATGAAAGATCCATGTACAAATACGAACACTCATAAAAGGAACTGATACTAGGGATGATGACCCTTGCACCTGCAATTTTCGAACAGCAGAAAAAGGCTCCGAATTCTGTGAATTCACACAAAAGGTATTCCTTTACAAATTGGTATTGACAAACTTCGTAGATCTGATCTCATCATCAAAAAACTACATTCTGAGCGTCTACGGGGGGCTACTATATGGGCAGGTCAAGTGACCCAACCAAGCAGGTACCTCTACCTGACTACTGTACTGCAAAACCGTAATAAATAGAGTTAGACGTACATCTTTCTCCAAAATTTTAGTTCTGTTACCTCCAAGAAAATTCAAATAAAACAGGGGATTACATACAATTTTTGAAAAGAAATTTACTGTTAACAGTCAGTTAAATATTACAGTATCAAAGGCATTTCATGTTCTAGATTTTATATTAAATTAGATCTGTTAATAATTTTAGGTTCAC